CTCACAACCCTGTTTCCATTCGAGCACTAGAGTAATTTCATGCTGGAAATTTAAGCAAGTTATTTCGCCTCTTTAAGCCTCAGTTTCCTCATCAATAAAATCAGGTATAAGACTAAATTATGGGTATTAAGTCTGCCAATTCTTAAATTTAGATTTTCTAGCTTAAACTCAGTTATCTCCCTCCACTTCCAGGAATCTATTCTATGGAAATAACCCAACAGATAACCAAAAATTTATAAAGAAAGATATATTGCTTATAATTAGGAGCCTGGAAAAGACTAAATATTTATTAGCAATAAGGGATGGTTAAATAAATTCTGATATATACAAATATTAAAATTTTATGCAGCTATTAAAATATATTTTCAAAGAACGTATAATACTTAGTGTACTTATTTTACATGTCTTTCATTCAGTGAAAAGGCAATATTCAAAATTATTCTGAATTTTTAACATATAAAGAAATACATCAAAATGTTGATACTGGTTATTTCTGATAGTTGAATTATAAGTACTTCTAATATTTCATAAATGTTTTCTGTATCTTTCAACTTCTCCACAATGGACATATAATATTATCTTTTCATGAGAACATGGAAAGGTACAACTTTCTATTATTAAGTTTAAAAATCAATGTATTTTTCCCTAAGAATACATCCAGAACATAAGTATATAATTATGAATTTTAAAGACATGAAAATATACAAAAACAGAGGCTTGAGAATAAATTTCTATAAATGATATGGCAAAATGATTCAGGGTTCACAATAGGTTATCTGTAAGATATGGAGCCATCGATTTCATAGTGTTATTTAAAAACAGATATTTTCTCTGATGTGCTCACAGAAGAAAAACATAAAGAAATCCTTATTATTTATAGCCCCATTATTACAATTCAAAGGAAAAGTGCATGTTTGAAACATTTTAAGGGTAAAATAGAATATCTTGATATTAAATTATCTAAATTGAGATGGCTTGCAACAGACTTGTTCTTTCATAAGAAATTTTTATGAACAGAATAGATACTAATCTGATTAATATTTTTTAGGTCAGCTGCCCAAAGTGGCCCAAGAAACAATGTGCTTGCAAAAATCGTTCTGTAGATCACAATCTTTTTTTGTTGCTGTCAACACACTTTCTTTTTTAATTTAAACCAGTGCCCTAACAATAAAGCACTTTATGGTATGAAAAAAATAAATAATAATTTTTAAATATGATGTGAAAATTACATTTGCAGAGGTTCAAATTGTTTTGCCTGTTTTAATTTCATTAACATTGGCAGTCAGCATTTTTTGTAATCATGTTGCTTAATTTAAGTGAGTGACCTCTGAGCCCATGTTGTTACTTTGAGTTTGTGAGAAATTAGGTACTCTCACATCTGAAGAGAGGGCAATGAAGCATATAACCTCTATGTTCCCTCCTGCTTCTATGGGACCAGGGTTTGGCAAATTGACTTCCTGGGGTACATTCTGAAGCGTCATCACCTAAGTCTCAAAAACTCTTTCTCAGTGATTGAATTCTTCATATGAAACTAAATGGGTCACAGCAGCAGAGATTATGTTGCATATTTTGTTCACATGAGGGGGAATTTAACTTTAACATTTGCAAAAGGGGATTTAAAACTTTGTGAAACCAAATATACTGGCGTCATATTCCCTAGGGGTTGAAGAAAGAAGCAACCGAGTCACTTGAACATCTGACAAAGGATGCACCTTCTGTTTGGCAATCAATCATATTAAATGCTCTAATAGCAGTGTACCTTAACTAGATTAATGATAGGCTCTTACATTTACAAAATGAAAAACAATTAGACACATGTAATGGCCACCTAACCAATCTGCAGGAAAAAGAATGTACAAGGTAAACACTCCTGATGAAATGAATGCAGACAGTGAGAGAATCTCTATTCAGCCAGCCACACATGAGAATAGGTATGAATTATTCAAATTGGGGTTCAAATTATTCAAATAGTTTCTCCTTTATCAACTGTTTTGAAGAGGATTAGGGAGTGCTAATTTTCCGGTGTAGCTGCTCCCTGCTTTTTTGCCTGGTCAGCCTCACACATTTTATAGGATTGGATCATCATGAGTCACCACCACACTTAAGAATTTTTCAAGGTTGGAGCAGTGCCAAAGCTATTTTAATCATCCCAACTGATTTGTTGTAGGGCTTTTCTTGTCTTTCTTTCTTTCTTTTTAATGATAGAGAAATCTTGCAGTGTACAACGTTCACTTTATTCTTTCTGGTAACTTCCTGCAATGAAAAAAAGTGTTTTTTTTCTACCACAGGCTTTTTTAACCCCTGGCTGCTTCTTTTCACCATATTCTTCAAAGGGATTTTAATGCTAATTTTCCTATGCCATTGGCTTTGGAATCAGGTAATTTCCTGAACTAGATGACTATGGAGAAAAGCAGCTAAAAGTCTACTCTGGTGAACAGTTAACAGTACTTGTTAGAGATTAAGGTGACCTTGTAAAGACTGTTGTTAATACAATATCGATTAATTGCTAAAAATGTAATCTATGCATATAATCTATATTTTAAAGCCCTTTATTATGAAGGTTCTTTATAGTCCATCTTAATTTGAAAAAGTATCACTAATAAATAATGTATAGGCCATTTTTTAAGAATCCAAAATGAATACCACAATGAACTGCTTTACTTGTGTTTTTCTTTAATAATTAAAGATGAAAAAATTAACTACCATGTTTAGCATTCTTCCCACAGTCCATTTCATACTAGAAATATGCATAACCTTTTTACTAATCAGTCGCTTCTTGTTGATTTGTAGGTTGGAGCAAGCAGCCCTTGCTCTTTGCCTGAAAAGGTCTCTATATTTACACTGTGTTGTTGTTAGAATTAAATACTGGTTCCTTGGTGCCAAAAAGAAGAACCAGCTCTCAAAGAATTTTCTCAGCGAGAGAATTTACTTCTATAGAAGGATGTGTCTCATAGATGGTGCAATGGCAAACACACACCTGAACAGGGGAGGGAAAGGGGTTCTTATTCCTTTTGTAGGTAGCCCCTACTGCTGTATCATTCTCTTGTTAGCTAGGGTTGGACTACACAATCTAAGCTAATTCCAATTGACTATTTTAAAAAGAGCAAGGGTATGAGTCAGAGTGGCAGGGTGAGCAGCTTGGCAGGAAAGACAGTTATGGTACAGGCAACTAAAGGTGACTCAGGTCAGAGCAGGTGACCAGGGGTAACTCAGGTCAAATCAGGTGACCAAGATGAGTCAGGAAGGAGTGGGTGACTAGGGGAACAAATATGATCTACTGCTTAGAACTGGTGGAAAAGGTTGTTTACTGAAACTGTGAGGAACTTAGACTTTAAAACGGAGGACAAAGAACTGAACATATGGATTCTTTGAAGAGAAATGTAGAATGCATTGTATCCAACATTATTATGCAAACCCATATGAGGAAACATATGATTGTTAATGTATATCTTGTTGAAAATGACAGTTTTTTTCAGCAAAAAGAGGTCAGGTGCCAGTAAGCTTTCTCGTGGTTCTTCTTTTTCAAAAATCATATATTTACTAAATAATACTAGCCAGAAGTTATTGAGCATTTAGTATGTTTCAAGCTCTGTGCTTGGTGCTTTCCTTGGACTATCTCATTTAATCCATTTTCATTCCTTGTTAAAGTAGAAATTTTACAGAAGAGTAAACTGAGGGTTAGAGAGGCTAAGTAACCTAGCCAGGGTCCCACAAGTAGTGTGGGAGAAAGCCAGGTTTCAAATCTGCATCTGCTTGATTCCACAGTTGCTCTTCTTAGGAGTGCCTCTGCCCTGCCTCCTTTTGTGATGTGGTGTGCTAAGAAAACTCCTGTGCAAATCTCTGAAAAGTTTAACCACAGTGAGGCATGCTGTGAAGACAGTCCTGGAGGAGTTGAGGGAAAGCTTTCAGATGCCATCTTTATACATTCAAGAAGTAGCCCTACCTAGTGCCAAGTCTTTTGATGGTTACTTGGTATAGAAAGATGAGTAAGACAATGTTCCTCTTCCTCAGGGAGTCCATCTATAAAGAGAGAAGATCGATATGCAAACAAATTATTGTGAAATATGAAATATTCCCAAAAGTTTGGGAAATAAGGAAGGTTGTGCAAGCAGCAGAGTGATGATTCAAGGCCTGAGGGATGAAGTAGCCACCCCTCGGGGACTAGGGCACCCACTGGCTAGCGAATGTATCACCGTGGTGGGAGGAAGAACCACGCTAGCAGGCTGACATGGGGAAGCTCTAGTAGCCTGGGACTCCGCCAAAGGACAGGTAATGCACTGAAGGTGATTCCTTAAGTCTTAACTACATAGCCATTGGCTTGGGGAGTCCCAGGATTGCTCAGAGTTCATATTGTTACAAATCCAAGACCACTGCTCTTAATATAGAGCCCCCCAAATATAGTCTGGTCCATTCTAACAAGCTGTATTGCCTGCTTTAAATTTAAATGATAAATTTTAAAAGAACAGAAATCTAGCTGTTTAAATAATGGTTAAACAGAGTTTTGATGAAAAGAAAATGAAGAATTTTATCTCCCACATCTAAGCTGTGATTAGAAGTTTGCTCTAGTGTTTTCGGCATCTGAAAACACTACATCAGTATATGTAGGCTACTTCTTGAATGTATAAAGATGGCATCTGTTTACTGAATACATTACTGCTTTTTTAATGTTTTTAAAGGAGCTTTGGGATTATTGCTGCATTTCCTATCAAGTTAGTAACTGATATTTAAAAATATTTAGTTGGCTGAAGTAGTAGATGATGATCAGTATTTCAAAAGATTAGTAGTGATTTAGAATGCATAGAGTTATTGCATTGGTTAGTTGGGAAATCTTTTATTCTTATACTTCTGTTATTTTTTTCTTGTTCACGCAGTTGAGTCAGCAAGAGAAGCATATTCAAATTAGACTTGTCATACAGAAAAAAAAATCTGACTTTGTCAGGGTGGGTGGAGGGGAAAAAAGCAACTTTTTGTCAGTCTTTTGTATTTCAGCAGCTGGATTCATTGCTACCATGGTAACGGACCACATGATGAGGTGTATTAGATTGCTGTGTGTTGAGCACAAGGGGAAGAATGAACACAGCTTTTTATTGAAGTTAAAGGTTACTTTGGAGTTTCTTCTGTAGAAATGTGTAAGGTCAAATACTTTAGTTTTCAGCATATGTAGTACTTCAGAGGAAGAATTAGGGGCATGTTGGTGCATTTAACTACGAAACCAGGTAAGGTACAATTCAATCTATGAAACAACTCTGTGACTTCTGTCGCAGTGGCATAACTTGCTGGGTGGAATTTCACTGTCGCCTCCACCCCCACCCCCACATGGGCACAGGACAAATTTCTCCTGCCCACCCCCCAGCTCCTCCACCTCCGGTTTCAGCTGTTTTTAATTTGAAAGTCTGAGATGTTGTGAAATGTTATAGTTTTATGGTTGTGTGTGCGTGTGTGTGTGCGTGTGTGTGTGTGTGTGTGTGAAGTCAAAGAAAGAAAACTGCAAAGGAAGTAATAAGAATGCAATAACTGGTATCTTCAAATCAATGTAGACTGAAACAAAGTGTTCCCTTGTTTTGTTTTTTGAAAATGGTCCACTTTTCTTAGAGGACACCTTATTAGTGGCATTCATCCAAAGCTACTTGTCTCTTCTACTAAATTAAGCCGTAGGACAAAGTTTTCCAGCATGTTATTTAGTGTGTTTATCATGTGTGAGCTTTTGTTTTCCTTTCTTTCATCATATTATTGCCAGCCTCATCTAACATGAATAGTCCAGTTTTATCTATATTTTTTACAACGTATTTTATTTCTATTAGCATTCTAATCTTTTAGGCATTGTAGCTGTATGTGTGTTAGAGGATTTAAAAATAGAAGTAAATACAATATGGGTGAGGGTAAAATGAACTCTTTTGGTTAGAAGCTGGTAGGAACTGAATGTAAACAATCCAGTGTGGCTGTGTGGAGCATCAATTCCCAGAGCGTAGACGCCTTCTATGTGTTGTTTACATATCACTCTGGCAGCTTGTTTCAAAACAGGAGGCTTTGATACGCACAGAGCAAGTTAAAGGAGAACAATTTCTTTATTAATAACTTATTTTGATTGCTTGTTCCTGGTTTCTACTGATGTCTGATGTTTGACTTTCTCATAAGAAACTTACTCTAATTTTAGCCAGGGGTTTACTTATGCAACTTATGTCCTCTTAGAACAGAGTTATCTTAGCAGCTTTTAGAAATAAAACCTAACTAAATAGTAGCAAAACCCTACTGTTATTCTAGTATATTCACTGTCCACCTGTAAAAAGTATAGATATAGGAAAATCTTTTTGAAAAACACATTCTTAGTGAACTAAAATCAATTCTATGCCATTAATTGGTACTAATTAGGATAAAAGCCAATAAATTATCCCGTTTGTTCATACAGCCTGCTTTCTTACAAAAGGAAAACTTAGATTTTATTATATTTATTTATTCTCTGTGATTTTCATTGCTGTTTCCTTAGTCTCTCGAGTTTCCATATGTCTAAGCCATCTTCTAAGTTTAAGCAAGGAGTTATAATCATTATTCAAAAAAATTATTCACCATGATTTCAAATAAAGAGAACCATTTCCATGATGACAGGTATCAAAAGCATTATAATAACACCTAACACTTGTAAATGCTCATGCCTGTATCAGAATTCATTCCTTTCCTTTTCCCTTTGTTGTCTGACTACAAATGAGCTATGAGCATGTCTTTTAAAGCATGAGATATTTTCATAAGCATAAGTTGTTATTACTAGAGAATAGAGAGTTTCTAAAAATTAGTGAAAGATGATACCCGGTAAACTATTTTAAAGTATGAAATTATTAAAACTGACAATATCTGAGATAGAAAGTGTTATGTTTTATTAAAAGAAAAATAAAAGATGGAAAGAAGAAGCAAGACACAGAGAGAGAAAACAAAAAATGAAAAGATAAATAAAAGGTACAGATAAAAGTGTAAATGATCTCTTACCCAAGTGTTTTTCTTTCTCACCAGTACTGGAAAGGGTTAAATCTCTATATGTCAGAGAAGAAAGTAGTATGGATGAGGGAAATTACTAAAAAGTATTATTATTTTACCATTCCATGTTTAAAATACATGATAAGATATAGATAGTTCCTTTCTATTAATTGAAATGAAAAAAAAAATTATGTAGTTGGAATTTGTCTCACTCTTTGTAGTTATGGGCTACCAGCCAGCTTAGACAACAGAGCTAGAAGTGTGTAAAAACCAATATATGCCCAAATTTCTGTGATCTTTATTCATCTGACATTAGGCCATATGTACATAAAAACTTATGAAATAATTTTAACTGAGAGATCACAAGATAGGAGATTCTTTTATAGTTGTTTTGATATTTACATTCTTAAGAAGCCGAATTGACTTTTGAGGTACTAGCTTTAAATTGTAAATTTTGCCAAGAGGTTTTAATTGTACGATGTTTGTTACAATTCTTGTTTAAATTAGGCTTTCTTGTTAATTTTAAATGATTGGTAGTTTTTCTTAACATTTTAGCTTAATCTTTAGAGCTGCCTAGACTCATAGACCAATAGATAATTATCTGCAAACATTTACCTCTACTAAGGAGATACATATTTAACAGTTTTTTTAACATGATAAAAAAGAATCATGTTGACTAAAACAGCATAGCATCTTCTAAAAAATTAATGATGATATTTAAACTCCAAGACAATAAAATACATGAAGATCAAGCCAGTGAATGATGACTTACTATCATCTAGATATTCCATTTTTAGGAGTTATTTTTAATCTGTGATTTTATTAAGGTGAATTTTATTATTGACCACAATGTAATTTTTGATATGAAAAGCATTAGACTTTTTTTAAGAACTCTAAGATTTTTCAAATGAGAAAGAAAATAATGGTACGTAATATGATGATAAATGACAATAATGATTAATCTGGAGAATGAGATAGAAAGCTCTTGCCTCTTTATGTAGTAAAAGGCCAATGTTCTTAGAAGGAAAGTGAAAATTTCTAATGAGTAGTATGATTCTCAGAAATTACCTTCAAATTTAATTAATTCAATTAATTGCATTTATATATCACTAGGAATAGAGGTGCTTGGTATGTTATTATCAGACTTTATTATAATATGTTTGCTTTGTTCAATAAGCAATAGAGACTGTCATCAAAATTGATTAATTGCATCAAGAATGGTACAATGTATGTGTAAGTATCTGATAGGAAAAAAGTAAACTCATTTCTAGGAAAGAACAATTTGTTATATTTTTAGTATACAAAGGGGCAATCAACTGGTCTTCACTTCATGGTATTATTAGCTGGATATATTTTAGAATGATATTGTTATAATAATTCCCCACTCTCTGACACACATATTATAAAATGTTCACTAGATACCATTTTAATATTTTGTTTTTAAATTTTAAATTATTTATTTTAAATAAACAACTCTTTTATATCTGAAACCTGCTAATTTTACTTTTTTTGGTGGAACATTTACTCAGAAAAATTACTTATCTCTGTATATCCCTAACATCAAAGAAAATACTGGATGGATTAGCAATTCCAGTATAAACTGTGTATCCATGAGCTAGTAAAAGAAAATACCGAACTTAAGATAGAAACGGTTGACCTTGGAGACACAAATCATAAAGGAATGGTACTATGAAAGCTTATTTCTTTTAGAAAATGCTATATACAAAACTTAAAAGATAAATAGCAAATTAGAAACAATATTTTCAACATAAGTGAAAAAGAAACAGTAAATATCCATATTATGTAATGAGGTCTCATAAATCTGTAAGAAAAAGCACTTCCCTAATAATTTTAAAAATATCTACAAATTAAATGCCATTTTAATTTTTAGCAACTATTTTTAAAAGGGGAAATCAAAAGGAGGAGGAGGAGAAGAACTAATATCTTGTTTAGGAAGAGTGGGGAAAATGGGAACACATATATACTGCTGTATACACATATACGCTGGGAGCAGGTGGGGAGTTGATCAGACTGGCAGTGTGTAGCAGAGTCTTTAAAAATCGCATATCCTTGGACCCTACAATTCTACTATTAGGAATATGTCCTAACAAAATAAATAGTCAAACATATTTATAGAGTTTTTCATTGTTGTCATATTTGTAAGTATAAACAACGGTGGCCATTCTGACAAAGAAAATTCAAGAAATGAAAAAACACACAAGCTCATATTTCTTCTCTAGAAGGTATAAAGCTGTAAGATGTCACAGACATGGCTATATACTGGCCTAGCTGTTGACTTCCCTGCTGTTTAGATTGAACATGTATAGGCAACATGGTACAGAAAAAGCGTCTTGGCTTAAGAATCAGAAAGCCTGAGTCATGCTACTAACTAGCTGAGTTAATGTAAGTATACAAATATATGAAATTATTAAAATGATAATTTTAAAGAGTAGAAAAGTCTTTGAATCCCTTTACCCATCTATATGTGTTTATCTTCACAGTTGATTTGCAAATAAGAAGTCTCATATCAAGTGGGAAGGGTACATTTTTCTAATTTCACTGAAATGCAATACCAAATGGTAAAATCTAGAATGCCTTGACTGTGAGAGAATATAATAAAATATTTTAAATAGGATATATGTTCCAATTATTATTTTTTGAAATTTATTCTAAAGAAATTTCTGCTCATATAAGGATAGGCAGAGGATGACTGGGCTTCAATAACTAGACCACACCTACTTTTAGGTGTGGTGGAGAAGCAGAGCTCCAGAGCAGTACTGTTCAAAATTCTGTAATGCTAGAAATGTTCTCTATCTGCATAGTCCAGTATAGTAACTACTAGCCACATGTGGCTATTAAGCACTTGAAAGGTAGCTAGTGCAACTGATGAAACAGATTTCAAATTTTATTTAATACTAAGTAATTGACATAGCCACATGTGTCTAGTGCTATCTTATTGGACAGTGACACTCTATAATTAAGCACAGCAAGTTGGGTCTTTTATTTAATGTTGGGGATCTATTTCAAGCACCTCTGATAAATCAGGATGATATACACAGGACAAGAAGGTGAGTATTCTTTTGAAATTTCCCTTTCATCCAATGAAATCCCTTGATTCTAGTGACTTCAAGTCCAAGATTTTCCAGAGAAATGTTGGTCTCAAGTAGTCTGTAGTTTTGTTTACTTAAGAATTCTAATGCTCATTCATTTTCTCATTTATTTAAAAAAAAATCCTTATATTGAATATATT